ATGTGTATCTGGAAAAAGATGCAGGGACACCACTGCTGCCAGAAAAGTTCACCTTGTCGAAGGAGCAAATATATGTACGGTGTGTGATATGGTCACAGCATGCCGTGTACCTATGCTCATACTATATTCTCCATTTACACTATGTAGCTAGTTTTCAGGGAACACTTGAATTTTCTCAAGTGGCTTTCTTGAAAAGAGTGTTCTTTTACTCTAATTTCAAAACACCTAATGCATAGACTGATGGTGAAAGCTTTTGTAAAATAATTTGAGTCAGTCAATAAAGTATACTATCTGTATTTTCATTCTGTATGTATTACAGGCTGACTAACATGGTATTTCAACAATCTTGTACAGCATGTCTACTGTTAATTAATTTTCAAATTTTAATTTTATTTTATAAGTGTATGATCCAAAGCATAGGTGTATGTGCAATATAAAAGCTGGGTACAAGTTATTCATTATTGGTTCTTTTTGTATAAGACAGCTATACATTTGTGTAGAGGTGTGGCATTTAACAGTACACCTAATACATCCGACTAGATGTAGACTAGATCGTGCGTTCTAATTCCACCCGAGTACAAATTGCGATTTTTTTTTTGCAGTTTTCACACGTACTGAATATTCAGTATATTTCCACGTCAGGTAGGGCAAAATTACACCTATACTTGATTCTCCTGACGCAACTCCAGTTATTGTCTATTCCATCTAAGTAAGCAAAGAAAGCAGAATAAACGGGATATAAAAGTGTTTGATTCTGTTCCTCATGAATTGTTTTTATTTAAGTTGTCTAATAATTATTTTCGTATTCGCCACACTCTTGTTTCTTGGATTGGCAATTGTCTCTATGATAGACCTCAATGCACTTCATTTATGGAATCATTTCAAGCAAATTTCCTATGAAAAGTAGTGTCATTCAAGGCACTAAACATGGATCTATTCTTTTTATTTTTTATGTTTTATCAATGACATTGCCAGCAACTTTGGTTGCCCATTTTCACTTTATGCCGATGAAATCGTTATGTTATGTTATTCTAAGGACGTATCTTCGGACCAATTACCGGTACCACATATTGCCTCACTCCTGGAATCTTAGTCTCACAGTAATGGTTTGTCCTTCGCCCCTATGTAGAATTATGAATAGGCCTATAGACTTTCGTAGAAATCCAGCTAATTTCCCTCACTTTTTCTCCATGGCACAATTGTTGAAGAAGTTCACAGTTTCAAATACCATGGCATTTTAATCTCAGATAACCTAAAAA